ACAAAACAAGTAAAGATACGCATCACACCTCACAATCTAAATGGTAAAATCCGTCACCGAGTACCCCTGCTTTGCTGCATGCTTTTCTAAATGAAATTCTTTGAAATGTTTTTTTCAGTCACTTTTGAAATAGATATACCTAAAGGTTGTGGTAAGTTGTTCCAGCATCATACTAATAACTGTTTATTTTAATAAAAAAAATAAACACGTTTTGCTGCTGTAAAATGAAATCAAAATTTCAAGTTTTTTATATCCGCGTAAAAGCCTTCCGTCATACTCATGACGTCACATAATAGCGGGTCATGTTTCAAATCACGTGTCATACAGACAATAAATCACTAATTTTAATTTTAAGTTAATTAGATAATCGTGCGATTTTAAGACGCAAAATCAGAATTTCCATGTTTATTACGATGTCAACTTTAGTTTTTGTGCAATATCGTGACTTAGTTTTCACTATCGAAACTACCCTATTATATTTGAACAATTTCTTTCAAGACACAAAATTAAATAACTAAATAAAGTAACAGACATACCTTGAAGTAGAGACCGGCAGAGTTTTCTGAGGCGAATTCATCACCCTCCGTGTACTCCCACACCGACATATCCGTTGAGTTTTCGAACTGTATACATAAACATTATTAACTAGACTTTTTTTCTTATAAATTGATGATAAAATTTGAGCATTGGGTTGTTTCATTTGAACGGTTAACGTTATATTGGTTTCGGCGTCTCGTGCGTTCACTCGTTTTATATTTTAAAGATAAATATTTTTTCGTCGGGAATAAGAAAAACATTTTTTAAATTCAAAGAAAAATAAATTGTGATTTTTCAATATAAACTAATAGTAGATGTAATCATAACTTAAATAATGCTCTGATTGCCCTGGTGACACCCGGGGTATCTGAGTATGTTGTGTTGTAACTCATTGTCAGCAAAAAATCAAAAAGTATGGCTTCTTACCTGTGCGGGCGTGGTGATGACGGCCGTGGATGTGTCCGTGGAGGGCGGGGAGGCGGAGGGCGTGGTGGGGGGCGGAGCGCGGGGACCCTTACCGCCCAGATACAATTGCCCGTGCAGCAGCAGGCGCTGCCACCACTCCACGTCAATATCGATTTCCAGACTCGCTTCTTCGTGACCTTCCGCTTCCACGAACGAACCTGGATAACCAAATGAACATGCTCGCAATTCATACCAGTTGCCGTCGTTCGTTTAATACATATCAGATAGAGACTCAGTTGTCTAAATTTAAAATACATTGCATTCGCTAGATAGGTCCAAAATTACGTTCCAACTATTCGAAATTGCGATAGCGATTTTTTTAGATATCGAATTAACTATATAATTAATCGCATAACCGATAAATGCTCGAAAGCTGTCAAGAAGTGTTAAACGAAACAGTCGAACGCCAACTGCGATCTATCAACAGATTCAACTGACACTTTACTACATCTCTTTATTTTCCCAAAATCAAATTGCGACTATAAAAGTTACATAATTTCATAAATCGCAATCACAAAAGCTATACTCAGAATCATGATGGATTTAAAAATTAAACCAGTGGATTAATTGTTTAATTTTTAAATCTATCACGATCATTTTCAATTGCGATAGTGATTAATAGAATTGTGTAACTTTTAAAGTCACAATTACTTTCGTAACGTTTGGTGATTTGAATGATACAGAATGTCACAGATAATTAATTTCGTTTTGTTGTTGTTATGTTGTTAAATAATCTTTCCGATTTTGTATAATTCTAATTAATTCTCCAATTGCTACTAAAGAATAAAAATGTTTCTTTCATATTAATAAAATAATAGAATGTTAAATAATTTCTAACTTTTGACAAACACGTTTTATTTCAACAAAAATCATAAACAAAACCATTACATCTTACTAACAAAACGCACGAGCACTCGATACGTGTAAATACAAGTATTTACTCGATACTTTTCTTTCGATACAAAGTACTTGATACTTTAGAACTGAGTTAATAAATATTTGTATCGGTACATGGTCGGTCTCTCACTGAGTAGTGTCGAAAAGACGCGTCCATAAGACTGTCAAGTCTATATCATAAAAAAGTCCCACATGAGCAGCGTCTCTGTCATATGACTAAGAATTACTAACCCCTACTAATTTTATGCAGTTACCATCTAGAGGGGGCATTCTAACAAAATTTTGAAGCAATAACTAAGTAAATAGTTTCTATATGCATTACTTTTTATGACTAGACCAACTTCTCTTTCTCCTTTAAACAGAGTATTGCTGTTGACTATCAAAAGTATCAAAATATTCTAAAAATCTATAAAAATGCTGACGCTGGTGAGGCATATAAAACTATTCGATACAAGTAGGTATCGAGTAAAAGTATAGATATCTAGGTGGTGTCGTTGAATCTGAGTAAATCCACGTACAAAATGATTGATAACCCAATACTGGAGGAATTCATTTACATCGTACCTAATAGTCACCTTAGTGATATTTGCAAAATTTGTGTGAGGTAAATATGAGCGTATTATGAAATAGTTGTAAATACAAAAGCAATCAAGTAAGAATTCTTAGTATTTTTTTCCACCGTAAAGAGTGATTACGTTACTTCTAGATTATTAATTTTGAGTGTTATTGTTTATGATTGTATATTAAGTAAATCGTCACAAAAACTTTGTAATAAATCCAAAAACATAATAAAAATATACATAAAATGTCGATAGATCGCAGTTAGTGTTTAACTTTTTCATTTGGCATCACCTAATAGTTTTCAAAGGTATTTGTTATTATCAATTTACTTAGACAATTCCGATTTACGTAAAATGAACGTTATCGGTCATTCGATATCTTTAAAAAAAACGTCGCGATCGCAATTGCTATTGCTTTCACGTGTCGAACAGTTGGAGTGTGAAGTTTGCCAATGTCTTTCAAATGTCAAGTTGAAAGTTACATGTGAATGATTTCTTTTTAGACAATTAAGCCACAGATTGTACAACGACCACTATCAAATAATAAGTAGGAACATACGCTACGAAGATCGAAGGGAAACCACATTGATCTCGACCGTCTCGAGAAGCGGGCGAGAGATCGAAAAATTGAGAAGGAACTGACCATCTACGCACCTTTACCCGACACAAGAGGAGACGATCCGCACGTCACACGAAAGATTTTGAGCATGAAAGGAACTAGAAACGATAAATGTAAGGGAGGAAGATTGAAGAAAGGAAGGATAGAGCTCAGGAAGAGCTCGACGAGCAGGTGTACGCACCCGTGAGCTTGTCCCGGTGCACGGTGAGCCGCAGCGTGGTCCAGGCGAGCGCGCGCGGGGCGGTGAGGCGGCGCACGCGCGGCAACCCCGCCCCCGCCCCCGCCCCGCCCCCAACCGCGCCCCCGCCCCCGCGCCACTGCAGCCCCACGGCCGCGCCCACCACGCTCACCGTGAACCACGACTCCGCCCCGCCCTCCTCCTCCTCCGCCAGGCGCGCGTGGAACAGCGTGCCGCCCACTTTGGTCCTGCCCAACAACATACACACTGTACACTCGACGATTCGACGAGCGTCAATCGACCGTGTTCTCCTTTTCGACCGAATCAATATTACACTCGAAGGCCTATTGTGTTTCCTTGAAAATAAAATTGCGCCTATTTTCGAAACGCTAGTAAGACGTTCTGCGATAATTTATGAAGCGACAAAAATAATTAATGAAGTAAATAAAAATCTGATCCTGCCTCTGATGCCCGAACGATCTTCACAGATATAATTTAAATAGAGTCATAGAAATAATACAAAATTTTCCGAAATTTCGATCATGGATAAATAAAGGTTTTCGGGTGTCATATTAATTCGCCTAAGTTACACACGCAGCGAACTTCTATCGCATAGATTTACTTGTTGAAAGACGTATAGAAGACCAAAATCATATGACGAATTACAGTATACAATCTATCAGTATATAAATAGGGGATTGAATTGAAAGTATGTTTTAAACATTATAGGCACTTAATCCCACAAAAAAAATGTAAATAAGCCTCATTATGTACCTAGAAGTATGAATAAAATTTATCTACTTCAAAAAACCGCGTAAACGGCAACTCGGAGGACGTGACGATATTTGTGGGGTAAAAAAAAGGAATTTCAGTAAAAAAAACAAACTATCGTTTGCAGTACTTACGTTTAAATTTACAAACAAACAAAACAGTAAACTGACCATTTTAATCTGTTAAAATCAAGTAAATCATAAATGTTCAGTAAATCATTAGCTTTACTACCAATTAACCCACGATGTCACGTACTCTTATTGATGTTTTATTTGACGTGAGACACGGACTGCAAATATTGGAAAATTATACTTTGTTTATCGATTTAAAAATATAAATAATTGTTATTTAGCAAAAATATTCGGCGAAAATCTTTAACTTTATAAATATTTAACGACGTTCAAATCCAATTAATTTTTAATTATTAATTGCTGTCCGATCTTGGCGGTCGTTTTCATGTGTAACCTGCACGATGTTGTCGCGAAACAGTCGATTTCCGAACTAAATATTATTTATTTTATGTTGGTAATACTGTGTAAAAAAAATATAATAATAATTTTGACAATTAACAATAAATTCAGTATTATAATGATGAAAAATAAAAGAGTTTGAGTAGTTGTGGTACAATATGAGGACACTTGTGAAGACCGTTGAGTGGGTGAGTTGCACATGTATTATATAATTGCGTAAAAAGGAAATGCATTGAGAGATACATAAAGAGGTGGTCTATGGGGAAGGCAGGGGGACCAGGAAGAGCTATACAGACAATACGTCATAAAGGTGACTCCTGGGTAGACATATGCTGTCGACTAGAAATGCTAACAACATGTTATAATGTTGTGTGTTATCTACGATGTTAACGAGTTACAAGTAAAGCGTCTGATCTCGTAATGTATGTCCTAATGTGTATATGTATTTGTCGCAATGACACCGCTCAGAATTCAGGCATAAGTACATAAGATTAATAACATACTTAGCGACACATGTCGACTGACCTGTAGGTGATGGTGAGCGAATCGGGGGGCGTGGGGGGCGCGGCGGGCGCGAGAGGGGGGGAGCGCGGCACCCGCAACTGGTACGCGAGCGTCGTGTTCACGCCGTCGAAAGTCGCGTTAGACACGCACTCGTACCTGCAAGACGGCAAACGAGGCATATATTCTGAAATCCATCGCTCGAGAGATGTGATCTATAGTAGTATAGAGAGCGCGCAATACCCGGCGTCCAGGTTCCGGCAGTGGGAGTTGAGCGGGCAGCCCTGCAGCTGGCAGAACTCGACCTCGGCGCACTGCTTGCCCTTGTAGCCGCGCGGGCAGTCGCAGCTGTAGTCGTTCCACGTGTTGGCGCACGAGGCGTTGTGCAGGCACGGGCCCGACGCGCACGCGTCGTCCGTCACCACGCCCCGCACCACCCCGCGCGCGTCCAGCTGCACCGCCCCGAACGGCGGCGGCAACTCCACGCCCGACACCTCCAGCGGGAAGAACTCCACGATGGTCACGTTCACGCCGTTGGACACCTGCACGTCCTGGATGACGCCCTTGAAGTACGCGGCGTCGTCGGGCTCGGCCGCGCCCGCGGGGCCGTCTGAGGGCGGGGGCGGGGGGCCCCCCAGGTACAGGACCTGCCCGGCACACGCACCGTCACACATGCTGCACGCTCGCGCACAAATACATCTCTATCGGTATTATAACATACTAAAAACTGTGAAATAGAATAGCTGCGTAACAAATAAATACAAACAAAGGAAAATTATGCATCATTCATTCATTCATTCATATGGCATAGTAACCTCGGCGTCCAGTTGTTTAGCCGCGGAGATGGACTTGCGGAAGTACTCGGTCCCGTTCAACTTCACTTGCACCAGCGTCGCGTTCCGTACCACCTGCGTACACGCATACGTTACACTTTAATATCATAATATATCACTAATTACAAACGACTAAACATTACACGTTAGAACAGTGTATTTAAACAGTTTAAATAAAATACATAAATAAGTTGTTATGTACTGAAAAATGGATAGAACATAATATCTTTTATACATCATCGTCGTCCTTTAATGTCCCTGCATCTATAGATTATATTTTTATTTTTGCAACGAGTTTAGAATATGATAATGGGTTTGTTGCCGGCTGTACCTGTATGAGGTGCAGGTACCCGTTGTCGAGCCTGGTGCCGCCCACGGTGTAGTTCTCGGAGGTCTGGTTGAAGCGCAGGTGCACCAGCAGCTCGCCGCCGAACAGCGACGCGCTCACCTGCGTCTCCTCCGCGCCCTCCCTGCGAATATTAAAATATGTATCGACAGCTCTTATAAATTTCTGTCATCGATTAATCGATTACAGTCGGGAAGCGTCATTTCTTCGTAAATATTAGAAACGGAAGTGTAACAGACCACTCCGTCGACAACATAAATTTGTCTCAAGGAATAATTTTAAGAAGAAAAATTGAATCGGCACCTGGGCAGCGAGCCGAGATAGAATATCTGCCCGGTGGGCTTGCGCGTGCGCACGAACATGGAGATGTCGAGGGCGGCGTGCACGGCGCGGCGCGCGGCGGCGGCCACGGCCACGGCCACCACGGAGCGCGGCGCGGCCGCCTCGTGGCCGAACGTGGCCGCCGTGTAGTTGTACTGGCACGTGGCGCCCAGGTACGGCCGCGGGCACGCGCACAGGAACGAGCTCCAGCGGTCCTCGCACGCGCCCCCCGAGCGGCACGGGTTGGGCGCGCACTGCGCCCGCCGCGGGCAGCGCGCCGTCACGCCGTGCAACGCCTGCGCCCCGCCCCCGCCCCCGCCCACCTCCGCGCCCTCGCCACCCTCGCCCGCCTCCGCGCCCCCCTCCACGCTGGGCTCCGTGTCCGCCTCCGACGACGTGTCGTTGGCGTCGTCGTCCGGCAGCACCTGATCGGGCGGACGTGACCGTTAATTCGAATGCAGAATTACACAGCCATATGTTAGTAAGTGTCACAGTCTGATCTAATCTACAGTAATTTTATGAAAAAATATCTGCAAAAATGTACTAATAAAATATAACGATTTCATTCATCAACTAAAATCTCATTCATATATATTAATGAATCGCTTTCCTAAAGTAATGGTTATCGGAATCGAATGCTTCAAGTTTATTTATTTTTTTTATTTAAAGTCTAAAAACCTCAATACAGAGATCTACACTATAATATTTCCATAACACAAAAATCAAGTATGCAAATAGTAACAATCCGCATGACCGACCCACTGTCCGTTGACGACGACGTCCTGCACGCAGCCCACGAAGAAGTTGGGCCCGTGCGTGAGCGTCGCGTAGGAGGAGCCCGGCGCGCCCAGCCGAGTGGAGGGGAACGACGTCACCGACGAGTTGTACGCCTCGTTCTGGCTGATCGGGTAGATCGTCTGCTCCTCGTTGGCCGCCAGCACCAGGTGCGACGAGTTTATGGTCACGAACACCTGCATACGCATATTGTTACGTATTATATGCACATCACGCACGTTACAAAGAAACAATTCTACGTCCCAGAGTTTGCAAAACATTAATTAAGTACGCTCAAGTCTTATTTTATTGAGCCGACACATAGTATGAATTTATAATCGATCTTCGACTCTATACTATTTAGCGGTATAAAAAGTAGCTTATATGTTAATCCAGGTTTACAATTATTCGTTTACCAAATTTCATGCAAATCCATCCAGTACTTTTTTCGTGAGCAACAAACATACGTACATCCATCCTTACAAACTTTCGCATTTGTAATATTAGTAGGAAGTAGGATATCGGCAATACTTTCTCAAATAAACTAAAGTTAACTACATCTTAATCAAATATAAATATCCAGATATTATTTTTAATAATGCTTAAACTTAAACAAATAAAATTCGATACGCTGCAGCGAACGAGCAACTCCTCTTACCTTCTGCCAGTTGCTATCGTTGAGGTTGGAGCCGATGAAGACTCCCTCCCACTTGTTGAGGAGGCTGGAGTGCAAGTTGAGCCGGCCGTTGGACAGCTCCAGGAAGAAGTAGGTGAGGCCGCGGCCCATCGCCAGCAGGCCGCTGCCCAGCGTCGTCTTGAACCTGAACGATATGTCGTAGCCCTCCTCGCGGGTCGTGTTCACCTCCGCGTAGCTACTCTTCTCCAGGGACATCGTCGTTATCTACACACGTATGGATATATAAATGTTCATTAATGTATTATATATACATCTTTATACTGGATATCCCGTAGGAATAGAAAAAAAACATGGAGAAAGTTGCAATTTATAAAAGCTAAAGTGGAGACGATACGGTGCTTATCTTGCAAACGATCGATTAAAGACTATTTTTAGGTTCATTGACAAAATTGACAACGTGTCAAGAATCGAATTTTTTATGAAAACGACTCGATCAATCTTTTTCTTAACTTTTTGTTATCGATCAATGCGATATTCCAAATTGAGAGGTAGCTTTCGTTTGCAGGCTTCAAAATGCTAATGATATACCGCTCTTATTGAAAGAGCTTACTTCGATATATACTTTCAACAAAAAAAAGACTTCAATCAAAGTTGTACGAGCTTCAAAAGGTATGCTTAATAAGATGTATGTTTGGTTGATCTCCCTTGACTGCCTTGTAAGTTATCATATAAGTAATTATATTGTTGTTGTTTGAATAAATTTATTATTATTTTTTGACATTGACCGATGATATTTTAATTCTATTTTGCTATTTTATTTTTATAATCTTATGTATATTTCATTATTTATATTATTACTATTAAATTTTTTCTTACTTCGACTTCATTTAATGTATTTTATAACTAACTTTTGCTATGGTTTTTCTATTTTAATGTCGTGTATCATCTCATCTTGACCGGGTGATGGCTGAATATCAGCGCTTCGCTCGTTCTTGGGTGATTATGCGTCGAGCCTAGACCCTTTAATAATTTATTTGTTTTAACTTTTGTGTAATTCAAAACGTCGTCGATGTAATCATGTGTAGTTATTAACTATAAACGTTTCGTCTGTGTATGTATGTATGTATGTATATAGATACCCGCTGGCACGTGGTGCCGTAGTATCCGGGCGCGCAGGAGCAGTTGAACCGGTGGTCGGTCTCGCCGCGCAGCCAGGCGCGGCAGGTGCCGTGGTTGCGGCACGGCGCGCCGCTGCAGCCCGTGAGCACCACGGAGCAGTTGCGCCCCCCCCACCCCGCGGCGCACGAGCAGTAGTACGCGGCGCGCGCGTCGTGGCAGCGCCCGTGCGCGCACGGCTGGTAGCGCTGGCACTCGTCGATCTCCAGCTCGCAGTGCGCGCCCTCGTAGCCGGGGCTGCACTCGCACGAGTACCCGCCCACGCCGTCCACGCACGCGCCGTGCCCGCACGGGGACGACGCGCACTCGTCCACGTTCACCTCGCAGCGCGCCCCCTCCGTGCCGCTCACGCACACGCACTCGAACCTGCCCGACACCGATGCGTTAGCCGACGGGTCGGAGGAGCGCACTGCGCGTCGACGCACCGCTCCCCGTACTCACCCGGACGCGTTCTGGTAGGTGAAGGGCCGGTAGAAGGAGGCGGGCAGCACCATCTCGGGCTGCGGCCCCACCTGCAGCGGCGGCGCCTCCGCGCGCTGGTACAGGCTGGCGTTGCTGCGCTCCACGCACACGCCGCCGTGCTTGCACGGGGAGCTGGCGCACTCCTCCACGTCCGTCTCGCAGTTCTTGCCTGGCATCACGACACTCGTTCGTCATACATACGCGTGCCCCGCCCGGTTCGTGTACGTACGTGGCGATAATTATTAAAATAAAATATCACGCAGACACCGCTCCTTCTGAAGCGACGTGCCTTTAAACAAAAGTCTAAAACGTGTGACGTCGTGTAAATTCCTCGAGATATAATATTTGTAATTTAAAGTAAAAAAACTTACTATGTAAATTTCCATTAAATCGTTGCCAAAATATGCATAAAGAGTAAACGTCATAATATAGCAGCCATTACGGAATAGTCGTTTTGGCGCTAGAAAATATTAAAATAGTAAATTGTTGACCTTATCTTGTATAATTAACAGATTTTGTTTTTCTATGGACATATTCATTAAAACTTTAATTTTTAATATTTTTAAAACATTTGTCAATAAACCCTATTAGAACAATAGTGTATTCTACTCTTTTTGAAATAATACTTGTAACCGTTTATTTTAATAAAATTATAATATAAATATTTCGGAAAATTAAACACATTTTCTTGCCTTAAAATTAAATCTAAATTTAAACTTTTTTATACCCGGTCTGTCGTCATATTCATGACGTCATTGTGATATTTACACAAAACAGATGCTTAGGGTAGAAGATTTAAAGATGTAAATTAAACAAGAACAATAACGTCTAATGATCGATTACGAAATATAGAGATGACAGATAAACTAAAAACAGTGCCATCTAGAAACTTGATTTATAATTGATAAGCATTTCTTTATGAAAGACTCGAAATCAGAATCTCTATATTTATTACGATGTAAATGTTAGTTTTTGTGCAATGTCGTGACTTATTTTTCACTATGAAAACTACCCTATTATAATATTAAATAAATAATTATATGAATTAATCTTTTTATGATTAAAAATGTGATATGTATTTTTTATCATCGTGATATTTTTAAAGTAATAGAATATAATTAATTTTAATTTGTACATGAATTTTATCACAACTCCTGAGCAATATTCAATAAATGCATTAAATTTGAATTAAAATATATGTAGTAGATAAATCTGCTTTGAACTAAGCAATAGCTAGGTTAACATAGTGGTTTGGCATGATGGAAGGTACCGTACCCGTGTATCCCGGATGGCAGGTGCAGCGGTAGTCGTTGAGGGCGTCGAGGCAGGTGCCGCCGTGCTGGCAGGGCTGCGGCGCGCACTCGTCGATGTCCAACTCGCACTGTACCCCGCCGTACCCCGTGCCCGCGCACTCGCACGAGTACCCGTTGACCAGGTCCACGCACCGGCCCCCGTGCAGGCACGGCGCCGACTGTACACCCAGCGACACGTTACAGTCACACAGTACCTCAACAATAGCGCCACCAGAACATGGACAGTAGTGTACCTCGCAGTCGTCGATGTCCTGCTCGCAACGCGCGCCCGTGAGTCCGTCGCGGCACACGCACGTGTACGCGGCCACGCCGTCCACGCACGTGGAGCCCGCCGCGCACGGACTCGTCGAGCACTCGTCTATGTTCACCGAACAGTCCTTGCCTACACATTATATAAACATATAACAATTACAATAGTTTATTTACCACAAGAATATGATACCACAACCGACAGACGCATTGTGAGACTGAATTGTAGTAAAAAAAAATATTACAAACTGAAAAATATTTTGCATATATAACAAACGATTTGACAAATATATCGACGTTCTCCAAATATTGTAGTTGTAAGTGACTTAATTCATCATAATTAGTTTTTTTTTCTAATACAATATATAAAATAAAATCTATATAAAAACAGACAAGTTTCATAAAAAAAAAAAAAACTAAACGATGTTAAACTTGCGCCGATGCAAGTCATCGAATCGTTTCTTTCGTAAGGCAGAAATATAATGGAGTATGCATATATTACGTAGCTCACCTTCGAAGCCTTCCATACAAGTGCACTCGTAATTATTTTCCAAATTCAGACAAGTGCCGCCGTTCTTGCAGGGCGACGATAGACACTCGTCGATGTCCTGCTCGCAGCTGTCACCGGTGTATCCTGAGCATGTTCATCGGACATGTTATCGACGATTGTTGAACAGTACCGTAGTTAAGAATTAAAATCAAAATTCTAAATACCCACCGGGACGACAGTAGCACTGGTATGAACCCGGCACGTTTACACACACTCCGTTATTACATATCTTCGGAGATCGGGCGCATTCGTCGATATCCAGCTCGCATAATCTTCCTGAAAATAATTATTTACTGTTATAATTAACAATTAAAACTTATTCAATTTAATGAAAATTTTAATCATCATACCTTCTAAAATAAAAACCCACATTGAAATTGTCTCCCATAAATACAACATGGCTCGTTAATTCATAAAAATCAATCGCACCGTCGATTTCCTATCCATTTCGAAGAATGTAATCGTAATGTTTGGTTTTATTAGTTACAGAGCTCACAAACTAAATTAGTCACGTCATACACCAGTTAAGTTTACTCAAGTGTATGCAACACAACTGCTTTAATAATGAGATGTTTCGTACAAAGTAGGTCAAACGAAACAATTTAAATTATTAATTTCGCATTAATTTACAATTGGGTACATATTAAAAATTCTAATTGAGCATGACCCCAACCGCAATTAAGTTCCATTTCCGCATTCAAGTTTCATTCAAAGTAAAGCTAATCAAATGATTAGATCAAAAGAATATGCTATTAACATTTTTCAATTATAAAATAAAATAATAAAAAAAAAAAATAATAAACAACATAATCAATTTGATATTCTGATAACTAGATAAAACGTAATCGATTAACAAAATTCATATCACGATCATATTCAATTACTCGATTGTGTCACTAACAACACTAGTTCTAAAGGATAAGTGACATTTGTCAAAGCCATGCACGTCAAATTGACAGTTTCTTGCTTCCGATTTTAATGTTTGTTCGAGTTGTTTATAGAATGAGTTTATTGTTCCATTGTAAAAAAAATATCAACAAATGATGAAATACTACTTATGATACCAGTGATTTTTGTTTGTTTTAACAAATCATGACATATCCATTGCACCGTATTCTGAGGTTATATCGAACGCAGTGTTTTCTACAAAAGAAACGATTTAGTCACATTGGGGTCACAGATAGCTCCAATAACACTGAAAATCGACCAGGAAATAGTGAGAGAGGTAACAATTTAAAAAATCTATTATTGAAATATCAAGATAAAATTACATTTAATTCATACTTGGAACATGAGCAGTTGAAATTAGGTTATTTTAAGTATCATTTAAAAACACTAAAAGAAGGAAGATCAGAGCAAAAGAAACAGTTTACAGAAAAATCTTTACCTCCACTACCCATTGCTCTCCAGTATTATGTGAATAAACAGAGATTACTACAAGATAACTCTCCAGAAGAAGATAAAGTAAATTCAGACGAGGAGATTTTTCAATTACCTTTTGCAAAAACTACAAACCTCGAAACAAAAGATGAACCCAAAATAGCACCTCCATATATTGAAAAATCTGAGTTTGATCGGTCTAATATACATAAATGGATGGTAAACTATGAATATTTTGATGATAGTGAATTAGATGAAAATGATGAAATACAACATTGGTCAAGACAATATGGCACACCAGACCCCACTATTGGCATCAGTAGAGTTCCCTGTGGAGGCTGTGGTGCCTTATTGCATTGCAGTGATCCTGCTATCCCAGGATATTTACCTAGCGAGATTTTTCGAAATAGAACTAATGAAGAACTGAAAACAATGGAATGTCAGCGCTGTCATTTTCTTAAAGAATATAACATAGCCTTAGATGTTACTGTGCAACCAGAGGAATATGAGAAATTACTACAAGCTATAAGGTAAATTTATAGACACAACAACACAATAACTGTTTATGGTAATAACAGCTTCAACTCTTATTGGGGATTAAAATAAAATTTTTGATTCAATTGATTTTAGGTATGTCAAGGCTTTGGTGATACTTATGGTGGATTTACTGGACTTTCCATGCTCTATATGGCCTGACATTGTGGATATCATTGGTACAGATCGACCAATCATTATTGTAGGAAATAAGGTAAAATCATTAAGTTCATTTAGTTTTTAAATGAAATCAAGTTTTGTAAGTAAAATAATATTTTTATTAATTTTTAGGTGGATTTATTGCCTGGTGACAGTCCCAGATATCTTACACGTGTAAAACATTCACTAATAACTGAAATCAGCAAGACAAAACTTAATGAAGCTAAGATCAGATATATTTCACTCATATCAGCAAAGACAGGCTACGGGGTGGAAGATTTGATATCAGTTATGTTCAAGGAATGGCTCGGAAAAGGGGATGTATTTTTAGTGGGCAGTACGAATGTCGGAAAAAGCTCTCTTTTCAATGCACTAATACAGTCAGATTATTGCAAGGTTCATGCTGTGGACATAGTGAAGAGAGCAACAGTGAGCAGATGGCCAGGAACTACATTAAATCTTTTGAAATTTCCTATCAACAGGCCGTCCGGTTGGAAAATATATGAGAGAACAAGAAGACTGAAAAGTGAGGCGAAACTTATTAAAATGGAAAATGAAATCAAAAAGGCCCAATCTTCAGGTAAACGTCGTGCCGAGCCTCCACATCTCATAGGTCACATCGGAAGATCATTTTCTAATCAGTTCACTGATGCATCCTATGACGTAGCAGAAGTGAAACGAAAAATGATGACCCTGGACGAAAAGCACGAGGTATTCGCAAAGAGCAAATGGTTTTACGATACACCAGGAGTGATTCTACCCGACCAAGTTTTATCGCTCCTCAGCACAGAGGAACTCCTACTCACCATTCCAAAAGAAACAATCAGGCCCCAGACTTACTATCTTCACATGGGGTCTACAATATTCATCGGCGGGCTCGCCCGAATCGACCATATCCACTGCTCGCATCCGTGTCGATTTACAATATTCTGTTCAAAGAGTCTGCCCATCACTGTGTGCAAGACGGAGGACGCAGAAGAGGTGTACGAGAAGTTTCTCGGGACGGAACTGTTCGCGGTGCCGACGGGAGGAACGGAGAGACTGAAACATTGGCCAGGATTGAAAAGGGGCGATGATGTGATGAATTTCGTGGGCGAAGGACCGAAAATATGCTGCGGGGACGTGGTGCTGTCGTCGGTGGCATGGGTGGGGGTGACGGCCAAGGGAGGGGTCGAGTGCCGCGTGGGGGCGTGGACGCCGCAGGGCCGCGGCATATACCGCCGCGTGCCCGCTGTGCTGCCGCACGCGGTCAACATGAAGGGCAAGAGGCTGCGCGACACGCCGGCCTATATGGTCGGCAAAGCTTTTTACGAAAATTAACAAACTCTTGATTTAGTGATTTGATCTAGAATAAATAGCAACTGATGGATCTTCCGATGTTTTTTAATAAACTTCTCGTTTTATATTGGACACATTTAAAAATGTACATTATTTAACATAAATAGGCAAAATTCCATGAAAAATTCTTAAAAAATCCAATTTGTCCCTGGCACTATGAGATGGGACTTGACCCTTTCGCAATCCGGGCGACTGCTCTAATCGCTGAGCTACCCTGGACTTAACAAGCGATTTCTTTCAGCCAACCGTTCATATATTATAACATTCTATGATTCAAAATATAGAAAAAGGACTATGCATACAGACACAATTCTACATGAAGTGAGGTGACGTTCACGCAAGAAAAACTTGACGTCCGTTATTAGCTGTCGCGGGTTGAGTCAATAATAAATCTATACTAATAATGAATCTGAAGAATTTGTTTATTTGATTGAACTCAAAAATCTCAGGAGCTACTGGAACATATTGAATTATTATTTTTGTGTGGAATAGTCCATTTATCGAAAAAAGCTATAGGGTATATAACATTACGCTATGGCTTATAAGAGTGGAGCAGCAATGAAAAATGTTGCAAAAACGGGAGAATATTTCTTTTTTAAAGCTGCAAGGAAAGCTTTTAAAAAGCAATATTCTGCGCTGCGTAAACGGTGAATGTAAAACCATTTATTACGAAATTGTTCCCCTAAAAAAAGTCCGCGGCAGTATATGTCTATCTTATACCGTAATTTGAAAAAGCACATAAAGGGATAAAAATGGGAGTGGAAGTTCGTATAGTGCATGAAATCGTTACCATAGAGACCTATTGTTTATAATTCTTTAATAATTAATATTTGTATATAATTTGTTATTTTTTATCCGGTTTTTTTTTTTGTTTGACCGTCGGTTTGCGGTTTAGCTCAAAAACGATTTTCAAAAATCATATCCACCTATTGGGCAAGCCTACTCCCCAGCAGGGGGGACGTTGATGAGCTAATGATGATAATACTTATAAAGGTCGATGCTCACTGGCCCGCCAGTGTGCACACTGTATCCTCAGACCTAGTGAGACAACATAACTGAAATGATTATCACGAATAGGAACAGTCCACACCCACCTGTGCTCCCCGGCGCGCACTGGCAGAAGTAGGTGTGGTCGCGGCCCACGCACGTGCCGTTGTGGCACGGCGCCGACGCGCACGCAGACTCCGCCCCCGCCGCCGCGCAGCGCCACGCCCCCGCCTGCTCCACGCACTCCTGCACACCACGGGTGGGGTCAGCGGACGAGTTCGATCCGTCGACTAGCAGAGATATATAGAGAGCCGAGCGGTACCTGGTACATGGGGCAGGACGACGCGCGGCAGTCCATTGGCGCCTCGCACTGCGCCCCCGCGTACCCGGGCCGGCAGTCGCACGCGCCGTCCTCGCGGCACACGCCCCCGTTCAAGCAGCCGCACTCCGCCCCCGCGCCCGCCCCCGCCCCCGCGCCCGCCGGCACGTCGCACCGCGGACCCGTCCACCCCGCCTCGCACTCACAGCGGAACCCGGACGGCTAAATCGATATAAAGCACCGGTCATCGTTGGATCTCTATTTATCTTTGGGATGAAAAATCTCATGACAATATAAATGAACGCTGCGTACTTTTATTGGTGGATTTTAAAACGATATCAAACGTACCTGTCCTACGATAGGGCATTGGATAGCAAGCAGATAAAAAATGTGTTCGGTTTCAATGTGCATAAAGTTTTATATTTTGAATTCACAAACGAAAGTACAATTGTTCAATATTTGTAATCTGTTTCACGGTAATTAAACTAGAAAAAGCGCGGGAGAATAATATTTTTTGTGTGTTTTTAATGAAAAAATGGCATACTAGTATTAACTGAAAATCTTTATTTGCTACCGCACAAGTAAGTCACGTCTCACCGTTCTCACCATCCGACGAGTCACCGTTAACGCGGTTTTTAAACATAGTTTTAAATACACACTAATGCTTATTTCCATATAAGAATTAGTGCATCCAAAAATCAGTAACCATATTCTCGTTTTATAACATTAATTTATTAAGCTTTTACATACATTCTATTGATCGATGAACATTTTACAGCCAAACTAATCGAACAATAAAAACACAATGCAATAATTATATAAAATGAACATTCGATGCAAACGCGCCACAAACGAAACGCACGACAAATACAGATGGAGAATAAAATAAAAAATTACATAATTCAATCACAACAGCGCGGCACGGAACAAAGCGCCTAAAGTACTCACTCTCGTTCGTGATCGACGCACATAAAACGGAAGTGCGCTCGACGTCTACGTGCACGCGTCACTCGAGCCACTCGGAGAAGGGCGATCGACTCAAAGGAAGACTTACCCGGTCGTGGCAGGCCTTCGCGTGCACACAGGGGGGCGGCGAGGCCGCGCACCGCTCCGCCTTCAGCTCGGACAGCCCCCGCGCCGCGCCCGCCCCCGCCCCCGCGGCCGCGCCCACGCTCACCTCGCAGTAGGTACCTGCACACGCACGCATGCCACAACGCTACACCACTACACGCTACATACACGGGAACGAAGCGGCCGAAGCGCGACATGGCAACATTCAGTGACGCAACGGAAACGACATACTCGAATAACAATAACATAAAGGACGGTTACGGTACCCTTGTAGTGCGGCGGGCAGACGCAGTCGAGGCGGTCGTCGTGCGCGCGGCAGGTGGCGCCGTGCAGGCACACGGCCGCCTCGCACGCCGCCGCCGCCGCGCTGCAGTTGGCCTGCGGGCCCGGCAGCCCTGCGCCATCGCTTACTTATAATACTCACTGCCATCACGTCCCTACGTCGACATGCCCCCGAGTGGCATCCCGTCTTTTCTAATAGGTATTTCTTTTTTTCCATTATAATAACATAAACATTTCTAATTCTGTAGAAACAAACGAACTGTGACGTTCTGGGCATTTCAAATTCTTACAATCTCTTATATGAACGCTTTTGTATGAATTGCTAGGGAAACTAGGGAAATGATTTTCAATTTCATAAAAAAATCAATCGTTCAGAAAAACAACTCTGTGCCCAATTCATGTGTAAATGAGACGAGTCAAAAAAAATATTTCCTAAAAATTTAAGCTACATCCCGTCTTGGACACTTGGAATATCTAAAGGGTTCTGTCCAAGTATTGTATGGTGTTGCGATAAAAAAAAAGCTCGATTAGAAGCGCACGTTTCTAATCGAGCACAGACAGTTCTTTTTATGAGGTATATAAAAGTACGAGACGTGAGGGTCTACTATGGGAGATTTAAAAAGTCCACTGATGTGCCTCACCGTAGTACCCGGCGTCACACACGCACGTCACCGGTTTGTTTATCATCACTCCGGTCACCGTCGTCGGCATACCTGCGCGATAAGATACATATTCTTATTAATGTTTTATATTTAATTACATGTTATTTATGTTTTTTTATAAGTGAATATAAGTATACATTTCTGAGATTACTAATTTTATATTGCATACCCGATTGGGTACACTGTCATGACCAATATGGTAGTTTCGGCAGTGGAAAATAAGTTTATCTTAAAATTCAAAGGCGTGATAATTAGAAACATACAAATAATAAATTCAAACTCACCGGGAGGTAGAGCGGAAGCGCAGTGCGACCTCGGCGGGCAGACCACGTCCGCGCACGCGGCGGGCGTGACGTCAGCGGGCGCGGGGTCGGGGCCGGCGGGCGCGGGGGCGGGGGCGGGGGCGCGCGCCGTGCACAGCGGGGGCAGGAACCCGCGCGCGCACACGCAGCGGAACCCCGCCCCGTCGCCCTCCTCCACGCACGCGCCGCCCAGCCCGCACGGGCCCGACGCGCACGCCGACAACTGGACACAAACGCATCGCTCTACACAAACATCTATACCGACTTCGCTATCGCTATAATTGTATGTATTTATATGTAAATATATATGATCGGCCACGCGTCCACTGACCGTGTGGCACCGCTCGCCCGTGTATCCCGGCTGGCAGGCGCACACGTACCCGCCGTACGTGTCGTAGCACACGCCCGCGCCGCACACCTCACCCCCCTCCGCCTCGCACTCGTTGATGTTCACCTCGCACCGCGGCCCAGTGTACCCTGCGACATAAGGCTCTTTTAGCTATAGAGAAGAATGGATTTAAGTATAAAAATAGTATAATGTGAACATTATTTATCGACTTAGGGTGACATCACCGTTCTATCATCTGAGCGAAATGTATCTATTATTAATAGGTAGAAATATGTTAATATCGTAGTATAATCATACCTGTATCTGTACAGTCGCAGGTGTAGTTATTGACGGCGTCTATACACCGTCCGTTGTTTAGACACGCGTGCGGTCCCGCTTCGGCACATTCGTCTATCTCACTCTCGCACTGACGACCGGTGAACCCTGGGCAACCCAACACATACATGCACACATTATTACACACAGTCATATACAGGGTTATTCGCAAACATATGTTTTATGTTATTTACATTACATTAAATCTGTCATTTGTACATTTTATTTGTGGCAATAAAGTTTAAATAGATAAATAAAAGACGAAGCTACGCTCGTATGCTTCGTGAGGTACCAGTACATTTACTACAATAGATAGTACGATAGTATATTAGAATAAATTTTATTTTGTATGAGAATAAAATGTAATTAAATATCAAAACTCGTGTAACGATCATGGTTTTTTTAAGGTTTCTGCAAAGTTATGAGTGTTTGTTTTACAAATAGCCCTGTGTGCACTAGTAGAGTGCCGAGTGCCGAGTACGGGACGTGTATAGGTGTGCGACAGTACCCGCTGGACAGGCGCACACGTAGTGCCCGGCGCCGGGCGGGACGCTGCAGCTGCCGTTGTTGTGGCACGGCGCCGCCACGCACTCGGGCTCCATAGACACCTCCAGCTCGCAATGTGCCCCTGCGCACGTTGTATCAACACACATTAGAACTACTTCCATCTGATTAGACGGTATGACAACTGATGCACAGTAGACCGATTGATAGCGGTCGTGGCCGGTTACCGTGGTAGGCGGGCGGGCAGTGGCACAGGTAGTCGCCGCGGGGCGTCTCGCGGCAGCTGCCCCCGTGGGCGCAGGGGGCGGAGCGGCACGGGTCGCCCGCGTCCACCTCGCAGTTGTTGCCGGTGTACCGCGCCGTGCAGTGGCACTCGTATCTATGTAATTATAATAAATTTCATTGCGTTTACGTCACTTGCCGGTACGCCTGAAGTGCACTTCTGCTAACGAGCATGAATAAAACATGTCTCAGTTCGATGTGTATACGTATATTATTAACGCAACACTGTGCATAATAAACATATGCTCACCTGTCGTGTCTCGAAATGCACGTGCCGTGTCGCATACAGGGTTCGTTGTAACAATGATCTTTGGGCGGAATTCTCAGGACGTCCACTCTGTCTTTACCTGTTACAAAACGGAATTGTTAAAAATACAAGAGTGTTATCTCTTATAATTGATCAGTTAAATAATTTGCACACTGTGGGTAGACTGACACTCGTCGGTGGTGAGCGGGCAGTGCGCGAAGAGCACGTTGTGCGCGTGCACGCTGTGCGCGTGGAACTCGAGCTGCGGCCCCTCGTGGATGCAGCCGCTGAACAGGTTGCCCACCAGCACCACCGCGCCGCCCGCCTCCAGCGCGCCCGCCGACAGCAGCTCCGGGTTCCACGTCACGTTCGCTATCACCTGCAACGTCAGCACGTTTAGCGGAGGCACAAAGTTTCTCTATAGATTCCACAGCCAGTTCCACATGTTGTGAAATTGTTCATGAATATTTATGTTATATAATTTCTACTCCAAGTGTCCCATTTGTGTACTGAATAAAGTCTGTTTTTTTATGAATCTTTTGTCCCGTTAGGTCCTGGGTAGCTCAATGGTTAGAGCGGTCCCCCGGATTGCGAAAGGTCATGGGTTTGAGTCCCATCTCAGAATGCCAGGGACCGAGTGAATTTTTAAGCATTTTTCATTAAAAATATTTTCCACTATAGCATTGTGAATGCAAAATTGATATACTAGATATAAATTAGCCAAGAACAGCGCCAAATAGAAATTTTATTTATGATTAATCTTGCGATTTTAAGACTCGAAATAAGAATCTATGTTTATAACTGTGTAAATTTTAGTTCCCGTGCAATTTTGTGACGTATTTTTCACTACCGAAACTACCCTATTGAAGATTTCTACAATCGTACAAATATTTTTTGAGCTACCAAGGCTCTACAGTTAGTTTATGTGAATAGTTTTTGATTAGAGACAACAAGGTTCAAACACTGCGAAAGTCGCCCTTTAAGATTGGCATCGCATATTTTTTTCGAAACAACGCAAAAGGGCTCTGTCTCGATGATCCAGCTCGCACGTTATATTATTGGACAACAAAGAGTTACCTGCGTGTGATTGTCGACCTCTAGCAGCAGTGCGGGTGGATTGGGTCGGTACCGCAGCGCGACCCAGTGCCAGCGGTTGTCGAGCGTCTCCTTGGGCAGGCCCACCTCCCGCGTGGACTGCGCGCCCAGCGTCCACGACACGACCACTTGCTCATACAGGGCGACTACGTGCAACGTGTACCGCTCGAAACGTTGGGAAAATAATTCACCACCTGCGATTTGTAAACACAAAATTAGGCTAGAACCGATGTTCGATAGCTTTACTCCATGTAATCACGATCATAATCCTAGAAGAATAATAGGTAGCCCTTACTTGTTCAAAAAGTATTACCATTACTTACTATAATAATATACAACCGTTCTTATAAATCTGCTAAATTATGGCTAGGCTAATAATGTTCGACAAGTGCGATATAAAATATCGTGATAACGTTCGCGCATGGATCAGAACACAGCACATTTTTCACAGCATTTTATGTAATAACCGCGACTTATTTCACATAAAAATCAATATTTGTGGGATTTTCTGATCAAAGATTGTTATTTTTATCAAACGCTTAATGTTATTTTTCTGTTTTAAAGTAGTTTCAAAGACTGCTCCTTATAAACTTTTAAGTGTGTCTAATCTCACCTGCGTAATTTTCGTAAAAAGGTCTCACAAACTCTTTGTAGCATTATTTCCTTTTTGTGGTCTCAGTCTTAGTTAAGAGTAATTGAAAAAGTTTGTAAACTAGTATTTGAGGGTTGGAGCTTCGGTAAATTTGTAAATAAATTTGTTGATGGATTCCCAAATTGTTATATTTAAGTTGTCATATACCTCATAAAAAATAATAAGGTTGCATCTTCATAAAAAAAAAAATAATAAGGTTGCATGTGGTATTCACCTGTAATTGTTTGATTTGATACATATTTCTTGTGAGCTAAATCAAGTAATCATTTTGTGTAATAATGTATTAAATGTTGGTAAATCAATATAAATAAATAAAAATAAATTTGATATAAGTTATCCTATAGGCTGTCAAATGCGATTAAAACGGGTAAAAATTCAAAACACTGGAGTCGAAATTTAATCATGATACATACGAAACTTTAATTTATGAATGTGATATGAACTAAGGTACATCTATCATGAAAAGAAGTCATGAAGCATGGGGTTTGTTGCTGGGGCATTACAATGTAAATAGCGTGCAAACATCACTAAAACTGAGATATATAATCTTCTATTATCGCAATACAGTTACATTACGATTAGCGGTGCTAATACCAATACCAACACCAATATTGCTACGTTAATAGAAAAAAAAAAACATTTTCTTTGTATTATTTAGTTTTAAACAGAAAAACTCGCATTTTAAATAATTCGCACGTTGAGAACGATAGTGACACAATGCAAAAAATGCGATTTTGAGTAATGAGCGTTTAAAGTTCAAGCAATTGTAATCAGCCCCTCTAAACAACTTATCGTCACTACGCCACCTAGCAGTTTCTATGCAAGCTACGTTCGCAGGGATCTTTGCATTTTAAAGTTTATACTTAACAATGAAAAATGTTGCCAAAAGTAAAAAATACATTGTTTTTGGTTAGTGACGTTGTCATTCTCAACGTGAATATGCTAAGACGGTTCTAGCTATAAGTTGGAGTTGAGGAGCTGTAATTAACCTATTTTTCTGTATTTATTGTCTAGGAGATACTATTTCCTTACTCTCCAGGCTAACATTTTCGCTCCATCTTTTTTTACCAGTAGATATAACCCGAGTTTTACGCTTAAAAGTCCGGATATTTTTCAATTCCTTGTACTTATTTACAAATAACAACTCTACGCAATATTAGCAATCTACATCTAGAGCTACATTAATGGGTGTGTAAATGAGCAAACGATACCTATATTGCAAGGCGTATTCCACGGACCATCTAAAATGAATGAAATGAGACATGAAATATTAAACAAAACCGGACGTGAAGCAAATCTAGTTTATGAAAACCAATTACTATAATGCACCATGTTATAATAGTATTTAAATTACGCTCGCGGTAATGAAAATATGCTTAGTTATTAGTACATTTGTCACGGTATATAACGTTAGATGAAATCTGGTGGGAATAAACATTTGCCGATTTGCGAAAGATATTATCGGGATCGATTTATAGGCGAGGACGCAGCTGTTTACGACCCAGGAATATATAGTAAAACAGCGGAGTAGGTACGAGGAACCGGTATACATTCCTGATAGACGAAGAGTGACAAAATTAAATATTACTAATCATGTAATAACGCAGCCTGGCAACTGGCGACGCGACGGCCGCATCAGCGATGCATGGAACTTGAAGTTCGTGCGTGACGCAATTTATACACGCGAGAAGGATTGACACGCATCGTGCATGCATTGATACCAGATAAGATTATGTCAGAATCATATTATGAAGTCAACAAAGTTTTAGTGTTTATCAAAGAGAGTCGTATATTAGAGTTAATACTAATTAGAAAGAAGGCGCATTATGCACGGGCACGTTGAACTGGACAACACAAATCAAACTAGTCTATACGTTAATTACATCGACTGCATCTCACTGCGTGGAGGCGACGCGTGTAATTACGCGAGCACGGCACAGAATACGTGTGACGCGCACGCATCTCGGCAAAAAAGCAGTATAATTACATTTGCAGTTAGGGCGCAGCGTGATTGATGTGACAACGCGGTGTTTACGAGATACTTCACGGTGATACAACGACGACGTTTTCCAATAAATAATCTGCGATATATCGTATGTGTGTTTCAGTGCAGATACATAGTTTATGTGATCAGACACCAGCCGACCTGGCTCACGTGACGCGACACTCGTGAAAGCAAAGCCTCGTGCGACCTCGTGCTGGCGCGGATCGGAGGACGAGCCGTTTTGTCTAATAACCGCAAACCACCAGTTGCACTGTGGAGATTTTGTTTGAGACGCATAATATGTCATTTGATGTGACTTTGGATTGTTTTTAAAGTAGAAGTCTTTATCTACGGTCATATTTGGATATTTGTCGATATATTTAAATAACGAAGTGCCGATGACGTGGACGTGGTATTAATTTGAACGCTTTTATATTGGAAATGTTGAAGAAGAAATATTCATAGTTGAGGGCCTCTGACACGATGATGCCCTACATCGGGACCGTTCGTATCACATTTGCAAGGCTTCAATGTTTTTTTTTAATCTAGTCTATTTCCAGAACGACTTCTTATCATTATTTCATTACAAAGGTGCGCACTGTAGTATATATACGAGTACATGTATGTATAAGTATGCATTAACTGACCAACACAAGTCCGAAAGCTAAGTCCTACGAGCTGCTTGAGTGAGATAGGTCGCGAGAGGTGGATGTAAGAGCTGCCGTTAAAGTAGGCCTCTGGCCTGTCCGAGGGGCCCAGGGGCTCCGCCCCGAGGCCTACACTCAACACCCATGCGTACACGAACACTAAGAGGTAACCGCTGCCATCTGTGGAACAGAAAAAGAAATGATATTTAATGATAATTAATAAATCGTTGGTTCATTTGCATTCGGTGATTTTAATGCACTCTCTTTAAGCTGACTTAGTACAAATAAATTAAGTCCAAATAAGCTATAAATAAAAATGAGAAAACGGTATTCACAGCCAAAACCTGAATTTATAACATTCTCTCTATAGACCGATAAAATATACTCTTAAATAGGAAAATTGATGAAAATATATGTGTTACTTTGTAGCGCTATTACAATATTCGTAATAGTTTCCAATGAGTTTATTAATTATTGCTGTAAGGGGCTATGCAGTTCCCTGAGGAACTGTAGTCACTGCGACCTTGAAGATCTATTGTGACTCGCCGCCAGATCTATAGTAACTCCTTTAGCCCGGTAGACTTCAAAAAGTCTATTATATTCCTGGCTTTTAGAGATTTTATATCTTCTGGGCTGATTATGTGTCGTCCCAGATGTATGCTTCGTTTGTGGATTAGTGGTCCACATTCACACAGGAGACTTGTTTTGGTGTTTCACGTTCCTGTTTGCAATATCTGCAAATGTCAGTGTCACTTAGTTTCATGTTAAATAGGTGTCTGTTTAATTTGCAGTGTCCAGATAAGGCTCGTACAATTGAGCTTATATTTGCTCTCTAGCTTCAAGAGCTCTTCAGCTAGTTTTTGTGAATGACCCTCAATTAGGGATTTAGCGTGATTTAATCCCGGCTGTTTTTGCCAGTATTTTTTGAATCCCTTTGCAGGTCATTTTTTAGGATTTGCATCACATGGTTTTTAGGGATACCGCAAAAGGGCTCTGGTCCTATTTGTAGTCCCTGTGTTCCAGCCCTTGCTAATTCATCCGCTTTTTCATTGCCGATGATGCCCGATCGTCCTGGTACCCATTTAAGAATAATTTTATTCTTTTGCCCCAGTTCATTCAATCTGTCAATACAGTCCTTTACCAGTTTCGAATTTATCACGCTCGAATGTATGGCATTGAGTGCTGCTTGACTATCAGAGTATATGTAAATGGTTTGATTTATGTAGTTTTGTTGGCGGTTAGCTTCCACACATTCCACTAAAATGGCGTATACTTCTGCCTGGAAAATAGTAGCGTTTATCCCAAGATTCACACTTTTGTTGAATTTCGGTCTTACACCATTTATTCCACATCCTACATTATGACCCATTTTGGAGCCATCTGTGAACCAGACTAGGCTTCCTGTTTTACAGAGTTCGTGTGCCTCTGACCATTCCTCTCTGCTCGATGTCTCCACTAAGTAGTTTCTTTCAAAGTTCCATAGCGAAGTCATGACGTCTGTGGTCATTGCTAGAGGTGTGTTCTCAAGGACTGTTTGATATAAAGGTCTCAGTACTTGAGAATGCCAGTTCTTTTACCAGTAACTCCTACTCTGTAGATGCTAGCTTTCGCCTCTTCCATTATAAATAAATGCAGAGGCGGTAAGTTAAGCAGGGCATTCAGAGCGGCTCCTGGTGTGGTAGACATGGCACCGGTTGCCATAAGGCATGCTGTTCTTTGCAAGCTATTCAGTTTGTTAATTACTGTAGCTTGTGTGGCTTTCTTCCACCATACGACGCTGGCATATGTTACCGTTGGCCTTACAATGGCGGTGTACATCCATAAGGCTATTTTGGGATTTATTCCCCATTTTGCCCCAGTTACTCGACAGCATATACCTAGGGCTGTTTTAGCCTTTTGGGTTATGTTGTTTATATGGCGCGTCCATGTGAGTTTTTAGTCGAATATGATGCCCAGGTATTTGACTTCCGTGGAGTACGATATAACGGTCTCTTTTAAGATAAGCGTTTTGAGGTTTTCCAACTTTCGCTTTCCAATGAGTTATACAGACACAGTCTTTTGAGTTCACGCCCCCCTCTTTAGTTCTATACATATACATTCTGTTTCTTGTAGTTTATGTGTGTTACAACTTGAAATAAAAATATTATTAGTACAGTCAATAGGCATAATAAGTAAACAGCGCTGGTAATCGATAAACCTACCTAATTAATATCAATTGTAATTAATTTCATTTGTGAATTGCAATACCCGTCTATTTGATTTGTCGCAGGATAATAGACGTCCCGTATGATTTAGACATGTTTAAACCAAGTTTTAAATGAAACAACTTTTAAACGGTTTCATCGAGTTTGTATTTAGTGTTGATTCAAAAAAAACACTCAACACCTTATTCTTATATGAACATAAAGGGTCAGAAACGTCAATAAAACAATGTTATTTCATTTATAGATAGTGCACGTGAAAATATAAGAACTCAATAACATTGTTATTTTAAATACCAAGTATCTACTTAATGATAATTTTATTCCACAAACCCACAAACCAAACCGACGCACAGGTAGCTCGACATGAAGACAGCGTCTAATTGCTGTCCTCTGAGTCATTCACTACATTGATTCATTTATGAACGAATGGTTATTGAGATTCTTTAGTTACATTTCAAACGTTTCAATGGATACATAATCTAGTTATAGAAATTGACATTTTGTTTTGATAACATCACCTCGTGCTGCGATAGATAGGTATAAGAACTCCCCACCCAATAGTCATGACATCACCCCGACTACTCAGCCGAGAGCTATGTCAGTAATCTAGACAAGGTAACTATTTCATAATCATTAACAGACAATTGTATAATTATACAACTGAGCCACTATTAGCTGAACATTCGGTACAGCAGACGGTATAAGTCAGGTTTATTTTGGAGGGGGCATATAGAAAAAGGACAGAAAAATTTTGCTAGTAACAATTAAATATCGTATCTGCGCGTAATTCCCCACCCGATGTATCTATCTATCTCTTTACTAGGCATTAAAAAGATAGACAGGGACAGCCTTTTGTCCTTACGCCCCCTCTTAAATTCTGCGTTTCCAGATCTGGATCAGATGCGTGTTACAGGCCAAACCCTTTTTCTAGTGAGAACTAACGTTATTTTCAAATCTAATAAATACCAAAGAAAAAGAAACACTGAATCATGTGACAAGGGAAAACTTATAAGGTCGTGACGTAAAACTTTTGCAGGGGATTGTACAGCAGCGGCCAATGTCACCAGAGTTCTTTGACTCCCACCGCAACCAGCTGTCATGTCACCAATCCCATTACTAGCGTCCGAAGAAACGTGCGCAATGGCGGCAAGATAATCGAATTACAAATGAATAAAAACCACAACATTTGTTATTTATTTTCTATTGATTAGATAATTAATGTTTTGTAGTAATATAGACTAAACGAAGCAGGTATTGACAAAACTTAGATTATTGTTTTGTGAATGAAAAAGATTTTAAATAATATTATTTACAAAAATAGATAAAAACTACAACAATCTATAAGTAGACGATAATGAAATTGCTATTGAAATAAATAAATAGAAAGGCGGACCTTTCTATTTATTTATAAATTTTATGTAAGCACGGATGCTTACATAGAATTTAGACAACACACTAAAAAAGTCGTAGGACCAATTATGACATAACGAAAACGTACTAAACAATTGTAACCTCGTGACTGTAACAATAACATTGGTTCTGAGCGAATCATCTGCGTCAGCTAACATTCATTATGTTTTAATGTTGGTAAATATTGAACATTTCATTTACAAGCAAAGTTAATAAATTTCTAACAACAAAAATGATATGAGCTCTCTCGATTTAGTTGCGCAATTCCACTATTAAAAATTATAATTATAATTATTGTGTTTGTTTATTGCCTGTAAAATTAAATGGCTCAATCGCGTTGTTGGGTGTCACACAAACTATATACGCGCGGCCGATTTCAACTTTTGGTTGCATTGCAATGCTTACGTCACAATGTTGCACGACATACTGCAGCCATATACCTAGATAATAGAAACAATCTGCTCGCACGATTTACCATACTAGTAATTAGTTAGGTGGACTATTACTGGTGGGTATTGAAATCTTCTACAACTCAAACAAAAAAATATTGACAAGAGGTGTGACATTCGACCTTAAACTGAATCATATACACATAGACAAAACTGTCCTCCAGTGAAATATAACACTGAAGCGTTGGTTGTAATATCAAAAAGTAAAAAGGAATGAATACATGCAAAAGACAAACAGTTTATTTAGAAAACTTTTACAACACCTACAACTTACAAACATATATCTATGGCAAAAATACAAAAACGTCTATTATGGATTATCTGTAAAATTAATTTTAAATTTGTATAGATATTGAAATAAAATCGAGGTCGAAAAAATATACAAATAAAAGTTTAAATAAGAAAAAAATATGCGTAACAAATGCGGTTTAGAGAGGAATTACAACCGTTATATGAGCAACAATCAGAGCAGAGAAATGTGGGATGTCTTCTAGCTCACAAACGTGTTGTTGCCGACAACTCGGCAAAATATGGACTTATGATTATAAACTCATTATTAATCTTGACAGCCTACAACTATCAACGTTGTGTGAACAATACGCGTCTCGCTCGACTCGAGGCTATAGGTGGTAGCACGTTACAAAATAAACTTTATTTTTACACAACAAGGGCCACGAGAAGATACTATTGTTGTGTCAAACCGACAACAATAGGCTGTTACACACCACCGCGGACTCTTCCAACACGTCTATCCGAATAGCATTGAAACGGCGAATTTCTAAGTCGATTGAACGCGTATGTCTTGTAGTTTGTACTTACTTTAAATATACTTCGGAACAATAAGGGAAATGATAATGACGGCCCGAACAATCGAGTGTGGTTCGCCGGCGGACTCGGTTATGCACGTACATAGCGGTGCGGTGACGTCACACGATGGCGGCAGGTAGCGCCGCCGTTGGTCGGTGACTCACCGGCCAACCCAGTGCAAGAGCCTTCCGGTAACTCAATGAGTTTATGAGGATACGAAGTTATGAATGAGGTCCCTAACATTACTCACCATTACTAAGAAAGCGGTTCTATCGTAGTGAAACGAAACTTTAAACTTTTTTCAATAGTT